AGCACCCAACAGCAGAGTATCCTTGGAGTGCCCAACAACAGAGTATCAATATTCTTGAAGCGCATTTGCAGTGCTGCAAGGAAGATAGTAGACAGGGGGCAGAGAAACGTTATATACACTTCTTGTGCAATAACGGCTTTAGGGTGGGGATGCTCGAAGTAAATAATTTTTTCTGCTGGTCCTCCCAGCCGCCGATGCCAGAGCCAAGGCGCTTACCTTACGGGCATGCTGCTGCTGGTTTAGATTTACTCTGTCCACTTTGATTAGTCTTTCTGGTGTTTGAACCGTTTCGCCAAAAGGATACTTACCGCCTTTCACACCTAAACATCACTTTGGGAGTATAATGGGTGTGCCAAGAAAGGTGGGCAATTCGATAAGTTTGCAGTCTCTGCAGGACACCCGTGGACTCATGCGGGCTTCAAGGTATAGAGTATAGACTTCTTGGAGAACAATGATTCGAAAGAGATCCCGAAGGCAACAACTTGAAGGACTTTTTCGTCTTGCCTACAAGTATCACCGTACTACTGTGTTCCGATGTATCTTACGCACCATATCTAAAATTTATATGCCATCCGCCAAGGCCTCAGGCATAGTTTAGGGCCAGCATTCGAAACTTTAATTTTTCAGGTAGCCCTTGTGGAGCTCCACGGAAGGCCTACCCCTCCACGCAACCTTCGCTGGGGTGCTTTTCAGTTTTCCCCCTGCTGTTCAGGGGTCCTCCCCTGCGAAATGCGCTGTCCGGAGGATCCTGCAAATTATCGTTCTGCTTTCTGTGTTGCACACCCTACGCAGATCAAGGAGGATGTTGCCTGACGGACTAATTATTGCATACTTGTGCTGCAAGACTTGCCCCATCCGCGAGCCGCAGCTCAAGCCATGCCAACGCGGCGCGATAGCATCAACATTACTCATAATATGCTAGCATTTTCCTGTATTACTGTATTCCTGTTGTGATACACAATACTCATAATACGAATCTGTTGCCCAGATGCGAGGCTGTCTTGTGAGGAGGCCCTTCATCAAGGTCTTGCCGTGTGCCTCGGCTGGGTGGGATTTTGTGGACTCTCTTTCTGCGCTTCTGTTTAGGATTTTGGAACCCAGTGTTATACTGGTCGCAGAGTTAAATCATAGTGTGCTTTTTGTAAATCAAGCTTTCATTTGAGTTCCTTAAACCCAGGTTTTCTATAAGACTTCTGACGGCTGTCCAGAAAGAAAGCCAAGATGCATCCTTATAGCTGGATGCAAACTGAAGGGGGTCCTGGCAAGCTGGATTCTCCAATTGCCAATGACATCCGGACAAACATGTCAATCGCTGTTACAGCCGGAATATGCACAGCAACTGCAGCAATGGTTCTCACGGAGAATGTGCAGTTGGAGAGGCAGCTGGTCCTTTAAGACGGCTGTGCAGACTTCCGTAGGGTCATCCAAGTCATCGGCAAAGGGGAGATAACCTGGGCTGGAGGCCAGACCGCTTCTTTTCCCAGCGGGGGGTGGGCTCACATGTTTTATGTAGGCGTTTTGTAGGCAGCATTTGCCCGTATTCGAACCTTCACAGATTTGAAGCAGTTGGCGTGCAAGTATTAATACCATGAGAGCCATGGCAGCTGTTTTTCTCGCGGATGCTTCGGACTCGGGGCAAGACATCTTGCTGCGGCACTTCCTGGGAAGGTTGAAAGCATCCAGGACAAGGTTATAGGAGCGAGCCAATTGCTAACAGCCCCATATATGCCTAGCCTACAAAATTGGCCTGGCACTCGCACTTTGGCGAGGATGCTCAGAGACCAGCAGCGACAGACCAGGAAACAGCATGGTAGATGGGAAGCAGGCAGGCAAAGTAGCCCATAGTAAGGAAGATCCCGAACTGTCCAAAGATACGCTCCTTCTGGAAAGGCCACCTCCAGCTGAACTTGTCCCCAGAGAGATGGCACAAAGCCAGAGCCAGCAGTACAGGGCCAAAGGCCACCGTCCATGCTGTGAGCTGTGCTACGGATAAACCTAAGATCTGCCGGCCAGAATGATGAGTGGCAAAAGCAACTAATGGGGGCATAGAGGCCGAGCAAAGGGTGTAGATGCCATGGTAGATGTCTTTGGGCATCCCTAGATACGATTCTGGAGCCCATATTTTGCTTTTGCCATTGCTCTCGTCCGTGAACTCCCCCTTGTACTCCTTAGACTCCCCAAGCTTTTCACGAAAGGTCCCGCACCACTGGTCAATGAAACCACTCATCGGAGAGCCATAGTTGCACTCGAATTTGGCATGATGACAATAGTGGTACTGATTGGACTGGAAATGGTCCTCCCATCCACTGTGGCCGCAAGCAGGCGAAATGGCTAACTGGAAGAAGCACCAATAGAACAGGAAGGGGCTAAGCCCTGAAAGATAAAGAGCAGGGAAGAACGCATTGGAGTAGTAATACAAATGCTCCACGGGATGCATTGTTAGCCCAGAAAACGGTTCAGGATCTGAGTTTCGGTGGTGAAGGCTGTGCACGTACTTGTAGATGGCTCGGATGTGGATGAAGCGGTGGGCAGCGTAAAAGTGCAGATCCTTCCAGAGCGGCATCGCCAACACCCAGAAGGCATTCCAGCACAGGAGGGCCGGGCTGGAGACAATCTCTTTGGCACTAACGTAAGGGACTTGCCCGCCGGCCCACAATCGCATCATGAGAGCTTCCAGCAAAGTCCACTGCAGCACGCCTAAAGACCAGTAGTAGAGGTTGTGGGCCATGTTGCCAGCGGTCGGAAACTTCTCAGGTGCGTACTTTCTCTTGGCCAGTTGCCTCACATAGAGGCCTACATAGAAGAAGCCATAGTATGCCAGAGCAACTGCAAAATTCAGGCAAAGCCTAGGAAGAACCCAAGACCAGGACCAGCTCTTCGCTGCTGGGATGTTGTAGGGGGCCACGGCATAGACAGTCAGGGCAAGGATGCACCAAACTAGGTTGGGGGAATAGAAAAAGTACTTGAAGGTCGCGATCTTCCTCAGTGTGTTTTCAAAGCCCAACTGCTGCACCTGGCTTGTGCAGCCTGCCGGCTTCGATGTGTCAACCCAGCTCTCCACGCCCCCAAAGACCTTGCCACCTGCAACTCCCGCAGACTGGGCTCCAAATCAAAAAGTTGTTACTATTATCAAGTACTTAGTAGTACTGTAAAATTGAGACTAACAGACTTTCTCAAAAAAAACTCCCCTACCTGGAAGTCCGCCCAGGCGAGTCCAGTCCACCATGGCTCCAGACTCTGGGGTTCCAGCCACCGTTAGCTTTAAACAATTGAGCCTCTCAATTCCTCACATCTTGAGCATGAACCATCTGGAGGCACATGCACCGGGACGTTATCCCGCCCGACCCCTGCTGTGGTTCATCGTGCTTGACACATGCCTGCATTGAACTCAAGCAAGCTGCCGCAAACGAACTCGTAGAGCATGACGCCCATTGACCACAGGTCGACCTTGTCACAGGTTTAGGCTTGAATTTATCCAATGCATTCACAAGTCGCCGAGGTCCAGCTGACTTAGGCCGTCAACACTAAGGGAACCCGTACGCTGCTTGAGTCTTGCAGGTTGAGAGGCTTGCCTCTGAACTTATACCAGCCTCTAATTTGTCACAGTGACGTATAGAAATTACCGCAGGCGTTTCAAAGCAACCTCTGCTGGCTGTAACGCTGGGCGCCCAGCCTCCGTTCCGTATCCATGTCCCCGCATAACTTCTGGGGCCATGTAGTGCGGAGTGCCAATCCTCAGCACTGCTCAAGATCCATAAGAAGAGGTGTTTGGCACGGCTGCTTGTAGTCAGATTCATGCCAGTATGAGCTGAGTATCATGGTGAAGGTTTTGCTCTCGCCTTCCGGCAGCTTCTTCGCAATGCCGAAGTCGATGAGCTTTAGGTACCCTTGTGCATCAAGCATCACCTTAGACGATTCCATGCATCTGAAGAGCTCATCCAACCCCACCAGGAAAGCTAAACGACTACAGAACGAGAGTGCGCGGGCTGGTTGCTCGTCAACATCTGACCATCTCAAGCGGACAACTTCCCCGGTCGTTCCTTCTTGCAAGCTAGGATGCGTTCTCAGGCTTCAAGTCTCTGTACCTTGGCCATGCGAAGACATCGCAGCAACAGGTCTAGACCAGACCAAGAAAGCAGCATATCCAGTCAACAAAGATACGTCCTATGAAGGTCTACAGCCAAAGTGAGACTTTCAGCTTTCTCTCCATTGGGCTGAGCCCTGCGCAGAATGTTTCGCTCGGAGAGCTCCTGGCAGCTTTTTGCAGAAGTAAATGCAAGCCTTGGCCAAAAAAAGAAGTGCACAGAGCGGATGCGCCATCTTTCAGAAGTCCTCCAGGACAATCACCAAGGAGCCTGTATAGAATTGAGCCTGGCCACAGGTATCAACTTCCGTTGCTTCCGCTGCTCAATCCGACTGCTGCCTGGGCCCTGGAGAGTACAGTTGGTATCTCTCTGATGGCACCTGGGAGTCAAGCTTCCCATGCTGCAAAGTCAGGAGATGAATTGAAGATATGACATGCGTCGCATGTAAACGTACCGCGTACAGGAGCATAAACATAAAAGCAAACATACATGCATACATGCCTGCATACGCACACATATATGTAGACATGTGCGCATCCAAGAGGCCGTGAAGCTCTCCCCCCGTGATCAGCTCTGTGAGAATGTAAACCTCAGTCACACTTCCTTCCTTTCTGTAACACTTTGCTACTTGTGCCATGAGGCCAGGGACCCCGTTTCATCGAAAATCCTGGGCCACCAGCGCTCTTTTTTGTCTCAAAGGTGTTAACCTGCGTCATGATGAAGGGATGGTCGATGTCTTTCCTCGGCTTGGAGATCGCTGTTGGAACCTATGTTGGCTTGAGGACCATGCTTTGTATTATCCCTAGCATGGAACCCTAAATCTTCAACCCTAAACCCTCAAGAGGACTAGTCCCTGGATCAGGTAAGGTGTCAGAAGCGAGCACTCGCGCTGCACCTCCTCCGGAACTTCGCCGTCAACCTTCTTCACTCGCTTGAGCCTCAGGCGAGCTGAGTTGAGTTGAAGGGTTATGCAGGGATTCTGTGAGGCTTGTGCTGGGATTAGCAGCTCCGCTGCGCAAACAGCTTGTCGTGATCGCTCGTTTCCACATTGAAGTGACGACTGAACACATATACTGCCCGTGAAGCTCTAAGAAGAAGGCTTCGGCGCTTCTATTTGCAGCTACCGTCACCTACAGAGCTGGCAGATTCTAAATGCAGCTGGTGGAACGCGTAGCGCATGCCGGTCGACTTGTGCTCGACTAAACGAACAACTCCCGCAGCACCTCGCCAGGGGCAAGTGGCTCAAAGAGGATCGAAAGTAATTCCTAAGGGCTTTTGGTATGCATTGTTGCCAGCACAGGCAGGTATTGCAATTCAGGCGATTGCTCTCAACTCTCGGTCCTGCTAACATTCACATTGGACGCTAGCATTCACATGTCGCACCATCACGTTCCTAATGTTGTGGCGCCTGCACCGATGACCTTGACCTGGATGAGGTCTTTCAAGCCAAAATTTGTATCCTGCAGCCTGACATTGCGTACGCAAGTCAAGTCCCAAAGCTAGTGTTCGACATCCAGGCCTGATGCGATTCATCAGCTGCTGTTGCCTGAGAAGCGCTGAGCATGAGAATCCCGAGGGCAAACTGCCCGCTGCAAACATTCACTGTCAAGATGCATGTTGCCCGCGATGATTTTTTCGAAGGTTGCCTGTGAATGCAACCGAGAACTCTCACATCTACCTCACCTGGTATTGGTTCCAACGTTCTGAACTATGAAGTGCAGAGACAGTCACTGGCCTTTTCAATAGCCCAGAGCTCTGCATTGTCTGAAACCACCTGCAATGCAGCATCTTGGGCAGATCGAGCTGTGGTCAAGAGCTCGCACCACCAGCTCTCAACTGGTGCCTTGACGGTGGCAGTTCGAGGCTCATGAAAGAGGAGCGCACGCTCACCTAAGCAATATTAAGCAGTTGCAACTGCGGAAAATGCTGCTAATACATGAGAGCTTTCTGATAAAACACTCTGTCGGTGCCCTTGGTGGCGGCTTCGCTTGCCTGGGAGAGTGCTGCTGAAGTCAAGTCGCCAATGTAGGAGTTTCGGGTCATGCGCCGTACCTAGGTGAAGGCACTTGGACGGAAAAGAAGTGTGCGGGGATCAGTCAAGGCACGCTTTTGTCGTTAATGAAGACCTCCAACTCGCCGTTGGCTATGACGAAAAAGGATGTGCCAGGGGTCCCTTGCTCGATGACCTCATGCTGGAGCTAAACTCAGGTGTGCTACTATAGCGTTAAACTACGGCACTTTACTTGCTTGCAATGCATGAGTGAGAAGGCACAGTCACAAAGGAAGGATGAGAACAGTTTGTGTAGTTCAGCCAGTGAGGTTGCATTTGCCACTGCAGGCCCTCTGACATGCACGGCAGGGAACAGTCTCTCCCTGTGCGAACTTCATTGTGACAAACCTTGGCTAATTAAGCGTCAAGGCAGCCAAGGAAAGGTCATGTCACCGACGCATTCTGCTTTAGCTTTTAGGAAATATTAACATATCTGATCGGCGTTGCCACGGAAAGCTGTTCCAATGGCTCCACATCTGCTGCCACGATGCGATTCCACGACCTTCTTGGTCTGTTCTTCGGAGAGATGCCTGAATATGTGGACCTGCCCATCAACCAAGATCAGGGTGCTCTGGCTGGTTGCGGCTGGCCTTCTTTGCCAACACCATTTTTCGTGTGAAGTCTGACGCGTCCTCAGCGCTGTTGGCCTGCAATCAGCAGTCATCTGCAGGCTTAAAAGCTTATAGAGAACTCGTCCAACCTTAAACCGAACAAAGCCGTCATCACACGGTCAGTTGCAGGCAGACTGAATGTCCGCCGCTTTGTCAGTTCTTGACAGGCAGCTGCATCTGGAGTTGGAGCTTGCTAAAATTAACACAATCTTGCAAGGTAATGTCTCCCAGCAGCCAAGGTGCAATGGAGACGCCCAAGGCTTTCAAAGCAGATGCCATGCCATCCCTGGTCAACATCGCCACCCTTGGCAGCGCATCGACTGAACAGGACTGAGCATCTACTTGAAGTAGGACCAGATGGGGTGTGGTTGGAAGCGGAATAACGTCCATCCGACGTGCACATGCGCAAGAAACTGTCAGTTTTTGCAGCATCTACCATGTCTTTTTTTTGCGGGAATTGGGCACAGTCCACCTCAACTCGCTTCTGCTTGGGCTTAGCTTCTTTACCGCCCGCTCCACATTTAAGGAAGCCGGGCTACTACTACGGCGGGGGCGCGGCGGACGAGTACGGGGCCAAGGTTGGGGGCGGGGACAACTGCTAGTAACTGTACAGGTAGCACCACGACACAACCACCTCAACTAGCGCCCAGGTTTTTAGTGCCTCCACGGCGCCGAGCACCACCAGAGCCAGCCTTCATGTTCTTGATGGAGCTGGCTGCGCTGCTGCTATTCAACAGCGCCTGGTCAGGCTGGGGCACGCTCGACAGGCGCAATGACAGCAAGCTTCTGGTTTCAGTGGTGACGGGGCTTGCCTCGCATCTAACCAAAGCCTATCCTTCAAACACATTTGGATAATTCAAAATTCCGATGCCCCTAGACTTAGACCCGATACCCGTCAGTCTCAAACAGCGTACCCACCGTACGGGCTCCTCGTCTTCGATCCAATCACCCCGCTGGAGCTTCACCTCTTTCTCCTGGAAGGTGTGTGCTGAACGCCAGTCACAGCAACTGGAAGGCTAGTACCAGCATGCTCTCAAATCAGGACAGTCCGGTCACAGGCATCATCTGAACAAAGCTACGATGGGCTACAATGCCAGTGAAAAAAAAGCGGGAGAAGCTCCATGCAGAGGAGCTGGTTGCTTTGTTGCCTTCACACAGATCAGAAACGATATCCGCGAACTCTTTGCTAAGATTGATTTTTCGATCGAATATGGTGCCTCTAGTGAAGCAACAAAGTCTGCAAATCTGATTGCTATCAAGGAGATCCTATCAACGAATCCAAACATTGCTCCGCTGCAAGTCCTTCTCCAAGCCGGACACGGAGCCTTCCAGCACAATAATTATCCTGGCACCAGCGTCTGCCTCAGGCCACGGCTGAATGCCACATTAATGACAATGATATGAGGATCCTAAGGGAACAGCACCTCACTGAGGCTTGCTTTCTTTAATGAACCTACCAAAGTGTGTATATGACTATGGGTTGAACAACATGCGAAGCGAATGACAGCGGCCAAGCTCTCTGCTGTAAAGCCCAAGTTGAATGACAGTACAGCACCATTAATACTACGAATGTTACCACTTAATATTACTAACAGTAGCATTATTAGTACTACTGGCCAACCTCTTGCCAAGAAGCTTCTGCGCTGGCAGCATAATCCTGCACGGGATTTTTTTGTGGTAGATAGGGGAATAGGGGCTAGATTCCAATGAAGATTGAGTGGTGGAAAAGGAAACTGCAATTTGGGCTTTAGTGGATCAACGCTTTCTGTGCGGCTGCATAACAAAGGTCCTCAGGTCAACCTAATCCTGTAGCTGATTCTGCAACCAGACCTTTGGCAAACAAGCTCTTGTATTTTGCGCTATCTCAAAATTGGTCTGCAGAGGTTTGGGGTACTAGGCTGCGCAGAAAGCCATGTGAGTTATAGTCTAAACTCCTACAAGTGGTATACCCCTTAAGAAGCCCTAGAATAGTCCCCGATATAATTACCTATATAAGACCCTTCAAGGAGTTTGGACTACAGCTCAAATTAGTTACAGGTCACAGAAATCCCACAATACAATGCAGCCTGATGCGAGGGAGAGTCCCCAAGAGCAGATTAAGACTCTGAACTCTTGTTTTGACAGCACATGAGCTATAGTCTAAACTCCTTAAAGGGGGCTTATATAGGCGACTACTATAGGGGCTATTAAGGGGGATACTAGGAGTTTAGACACTGGCCCAAATGAAATAGATGTGTCTCGTGCACTAAATGCAGACAAAAGTAACCTAAACCCTCGGCCATAAGTCAACTCCCCCAAGCAAAGACCATGCCAGTTGGGACAGTACCCATTTACCAGGCGCTCGAAAAGGAGGCTTGTGAGGCTTGTGCGTTTGGGATTGAGGAGTTAAGGCGTTAGCTCATGTCCTTGACCACGACCCACTTCATGAGTTCTGATCTCTGACTGGCCGTGAACTGCGAAATCACAGGGCCTGAGTGACAGGTTCAAAGGCTGAGGATGATAAATCTCAATGTAAGGGGTGGTTTCCTAAACTAGAAGTTCTTTTTTCGGGGTCCCAGGATTGTAGTATATTGGGAGTTATCTATTTGCGTCCCCTAATTTTGTACAACTACCATGATATGATAAACAGAACGGGACCAGCTTACATTAGGAAGGTGGGGGATTCTAATATTAGGGGGAGGTGATGAAGTCAGAGCTGTTCACATTGGATGCTGGCATCTTGGATGCGCCAGGAACCCGGCATTTTTTGAGACCTTGTGAGATGGCGTTCCGCTCCAAGACCGCCCCCAGGTCATCTCCCAGAATCACCTCTTCAAGCACTCTGTCCTAGTGTCTGAAAAAGGACCTTACATCACCCTTCTTCTCATGTTCTGAACATGGTTCTCGCAGAGCTAAGCCATGGCTACAGCTGGGTAAACGGAGCCCCTCTTCGGCGCCTTCAGCTCTGCCACGCTGACGCATAGCAGCTCTGAGCGACCGCTGGACAGGATGGTGATGTTGAACCTGGTTGTTTGAGAGTACTGGAGGAACCAGAAGGTATACCCCACTTGCGGGACATCCCAGCACAGCTTCCACCCGAATCTGCTGCTACTGTATGGTGTTCATGAAGCTGCTTGGGTTTGGGCCCAACATGAGCTTCCGCATGCACGGCCATGACTTGCACAATGAAACACTAAGAGAAGAGTCTTGGAGGTCTGAGTTGGGACCCTCAGGCCTGCAACCGTTTAACTGGAGTTGCACCCACCACCGTGCAGCCACGACACGGCTCCTTTGAAACCACTTGCGACTCTCCGAAACAGTCCTCAGCCAGCCCAAGTCTTCCACAAAATATGACCCTTCTCGTCCCATGGTTGCACTTGCTACTTGTTCAACAACGTTGCCAACATCGCGAAGACTTACTTAGCTAGCAATTGTTCCAAGCGGCGTTTTGCCCAAGCCGTCCGATTTCGGAGCCATCTACGAACTCACCAGTGCTCTTCACCTTTTTACGCAACTGTCGCAGCAACATTGTGTGCTCTGTGAGGTTTTGAGCAGTGGACGTGCCCACCAGAGTACACTGCCAGTTCACCTGGCATTGTGCCAAATGCCATGCCGAAACCACGCTTATTTCGACTGCGCCTTTCTTCACAAAGTAAATGGCTGTCTGCATGTCTCCCGCCGTCACAACTCGAGCCTTCCACCGGGTTGGCAAGGGTTGCAGCAACTACAGTTCAGGACAGGCTGACATGGGCTGACAGCAGCCTTGTCCTCGAACACTTCGGAGAAAGTAGCCTGCTTCAGGATCCGACATACCAGTAGTAAACCCCAAGCGCGGCTACGCTTGTGCCTCTGCCACGCAATTCTTTTGCTTCTTGGTGAGGCCCTCGAAAATGCTCATGGCATCCAGGAACTTGAGCGTCTCTGCCTATCAATCAGAGCCACTGAACGTTGAACACGCAAAACATGCAAAATCCGAGCTTCGTGAGACGGGAATCTTTCAACGGCCCCAGTGTTCGACAATGCCTTTCCCCTCATTCACGCAGCCTGGTGCTTTGTGGCGTTCTGTTGCAAGCTCTGCTTAAAGGCCACGCCGCTGGCCTCAGGCATTAGCGGGTAGCAATACAAACAAGATGCGGGACAAGCAGATATGATGTTAGAACCAATGGCATCCATGTTTCGGACAACTGTGGGTTCGGGACTCTTACAAAAAGTCATAATCGAATGACATAATTCCCATGTGCATGCATCATGTCGTGATCTGCCAAGAGACGCCCCAAACCTCGCTGTTCGCTGTGGCTTTGACAGTGGCAGTCCTGACATGCAGAGGTGTCTCTTGGCGGGAGAGGAATTTCAAAGAGGATGCTGCTCCTGGGGCAATTATACAGCAGCGCCAGCCCGCCGAAGGCACAGCCTGGATGCTTGAGCTGCACGCTACGCACAAAAGAGTCTGGTGCCCAGCCTGCACCAATGGTGTTGCATGTGATGCCTTTGACCTCAGCGGTAGGCACTTGAGAGGCACCTCTTGTGGGTAGTGTCAAGCAACACCTCATCCATGCGACCGAGGGCACACTGACTTCCATTGATCCAGTCTGGGTCACAAAGAACCTCAAGATAGCAACTCACGCTGTCAAAATCACATGCCGCAAGTTCTGCAGAGAACCCATGCAAAGGGCTCATGAGTTGAATGCAGCTACATCCTGGCCACTCGCTGTCATCAGCGGCAACCCGAAACATCCGAGGGGCGTTGTTCCAAGGCGTCCCTCCTGGATGATTGGCGTGCCCTTATCGAACTTGTAGAACTGCACAGGCGCGCGCCACAGCAAAAACATGTCTTGTCATGCCCTGAACAGTCAGCACTTGTTGAGCATGTTAAGGTGCATTCTGCCTTCACTGTGTTCAGAATGGATTCAATCTCTGCATCATCAAGCCTGCGGCGGCTTGCAGGAAGTCTGAAGAATTGAAAGCACCTTGCTCGGGCCCCAGCGTGGCGCACAGCCGATCCTGCTTCATGGCATTCTTCAGAAACACACGAGTATCCTTTTCCTCAGGAAGCAGGAAGTGCTGGAGCTAGGTTTTCAAATCCGAAGCAAACTCGGTGCCCTGCAATCTCTTTTTTAACCTTCCCAGCATTGCAATCCCAAGCAAGGTGGGCTGACAGGTGGCAGGTAGAGATGCCATTCCCTGCCTCAAACTGATCAAGGTGCTCTTCAACTGGTGGCGGTTTTCTGGATGTGCTCCTCAGCGCGAGCTGACTGTTACTTTTTCCAGGCGTTGCCTCTGCCACCGTTCTCGTGAGTTCCATGGCCCGAACTGGCCCACAGGTCAAAGTGCTTTTCTTGAAATGCAGCCAAAAGGCCCCACTCGTTTTTGAGTGGCCTTTCTTGCATACTCTCTTTTCTTCTCCTGCAAGGGCCAGTCAATGCATGTTTCGTCTTGCCTGAAGTCTGGGGGTCGGGCCTGAGGCATTGCTAAGCTGCTCATCTCCGCGGCCAGCGCAGCGCCAGCAGCACAGGGAAAGGCCTCAGAGCAGAGAAAAGCAGGATTGGTTTGCATCATTAGCAGTCTCTGGCCGCACGCTTCGGCTTCAACATGGAAGTCTTCAGCTGCAGGGCCCCGCACAAGGACCAACACCAGACACCAAGCTCATGTCCAAGCTGCTGCGGTACGCGCCGCGGCAGCGCTTGGGGCCACTTGCGAAGCTCAGCAGAGAACCCCAACTCTCAGCTAGCTCGCCCCGCTCCACTTGGAGGGCTGTGGGTTTGATTGATGGCTATGGCTGTAGCTCTTTGCGACCGGACGCGCTTGGTTCACATATTCCAGCTACTGTACGGATGAGGCTTGCGGTTGCGTGCATTTGTATGGGTTAGGAAGGCAGTCTTTGCAGGGTAGCAGGGCAAATCATGAGGCCTGACCTTCCACTGTTTAGAGTCATGCAACATGAGGCTGGCAGCTGGAAGGTACAACGGCTTCAGAAGCAGGTCAGGAGCTGCTGCAAAGGCTTCCGGCAAGATGTCAACAGTTTCTGAATATCCGTGTCCCCGCATCTGTCCCTGAGAAGGTCAGGACGCAATTGTACTCCACTTGGAATTACTTCACACAAAAGGTGCGCGAGACACCCCTCCCCCTGGAACCTGGGCCGCCACGAGGGCTTCCTCCTGAGGCATGCGCAAGGCGTAGCTGACTTGCCCACAGCCAGCAGAAGAAACCCGAAGAGATGTGTATATAGTAGCAATGTTAGAAAGAGCAGCTTCAATGATAGGAAACACGAATACCCTAATTCAGCTAAGGTGATAACAGCCATGTCCTGGAAAACCAGCTCCCCACACTCTATGTCTCGGTCCGCCAGTACCTCTTTGATTTGTTGCAAAATGCGACATCTAGTGGGATGATGGTCATTGATTGTTGGATCGTTTGATGCCATGACTTTGTTGGACTTGCGTGGAACAGTCAAGTCTGGTTCATCTTGTCACAATGTGATATCTTCTTGCCACTTGATAGGCAGTCCCGAAGTCCTGGCCCTTCTTTCTGCCTGGAGGCTCCGGCTGGATCTTGGATAAGTGCTAGGACGCTTCTTTGGCGTGGACCTTGCTGCAGCAGATTTTTCGTTGATGTTTCCTGGCAGGGCTTCCGAAGCAAAAGTCAGCATCTTGGATCCTGGCGTTTGCTGCTTTACTCCTCTTGCAGCAGGCTTGCGCAAGATACGGCCCATGGCAGGGTCTGTCTGCGGTAGTTAATTGGGGCGATTGCATGGAGTGTAGGTCAGCATGAATCAAGCATGTTGGTCAAGCATGTTGGCACCGGGTCTCTGGTTCTGATCCGACAAATCCAAATGCCTGCTGCAACGTTCCCCGCTGCACTGGCCAAACTTCCTGCTGACTTTGATGGGCGTGCTGCCTAATAAAAAGCTGCACGGGTGTCAGCAGGCTCCTTTTTGCCAAGCGATTCATGCTCATACCTTTGCCTACGAAGATATCACCACGAGCTCCGGGGACTTCCGTGGCGAGGGTCCTTGGAGCAGGGTCTTCATGCCAATTCCTCCAGAAGCTGACGGCAGAAGGGTTGTGCCAAAACTTGAGTCCCTCAACTAGACTCTAGAGACTACGATCTGCAGCGTGGCGAAACAAGGGACAGTCTTGGCACATACCCAGATACAGCCACTACCTGGAGCTATTCCATCTTCCGAAATCTGGCCGATACTCTCACTGCACGAGCGTCACATGATGCATCGCCTTCAACAGCTGGGAGGAGGTTTAGCCCTATCATCTCAATTACAAGCAGTCTTCCTATCTTGAACACGGGACCACCTGTACCCTGCGCTAGGTCCGCTATGAGAAAACTGCTCCCCCTCCTATACTTAGCCTTTAAACCCAGCATCAAGCTTCCCCCTCTCACTCTCATCCTGGTAGTAGACATTTGCTTCTAATGTGGGGTTTTCCATGGTTGGGGGTCCCTTTTTTTGGAGCAAGGACTACTTTGTTTGGGCGATTCGTGAGGAAGACCCTAGCTACATGTGTGAATGTCATCCTTCTTTGCATTCTTGTCTGGCAGGCCTCGAGAATCCGCAGCCTGGGCCATGGGGAGATTGGTCACTCAGGTAGTCCAGTGGTTGTCTCAGTCATCTAACACACGCACATTCTCATTGGCTTCGAGCAAGTCTGCATCTGCCAGCTCAATGGCCTCATGCGAGGGATAATTACCGTGTTGATTCACCATGTGTGTATGGAGGTACGTGCGTACTTAGTATTTGAGCTGCATGTGTACATCATTCAGATGACATGAAAGTGTTGGTCAGATCACGGCTCCTGGGCTACTAAGTGCGTGATGTTTTGAAGAAATGCCCGCGCGCGCTCACACACCCACTTACCACAATGGCCTGATCGTCAACAGGAATAACACTTGATCAAGACCTCAGCACCCTTTTTGTCAGTAATCGTGCCTCTTCTTGCGGGCTGCTTGGTCTCCAAATCAGCCACCGCAAGCATCCCAGCAAACCACGGCAGTGCAAAGGCGCAATAGGCACGATGGAAAGGCCAGTAACGACCGCTGTTGTTAAGACCAAGAGCCCTTGCCCGTTCATGCCAGTGCCGAATGCATGCCAGGTCTGAAATGTAGAAGCCGCAATAATGGAGCACTTCAAATACGAACGAGACAAGGTTGCGCGGCTATTTGCAGCATCTGTCGGCAGCCGCACTCCCAATTCGTTAACAGCTTTGGAGAAGAGCAGCCTCAGTGCAGCGGGAGGCAAGATTCTGCTAATGCCCTTTGAGTTTGAGTTTTTTTTGCTTGAACCCCGTTCACGCAACAGGCAAAGATGCCTGAGTTAAAAGTCATCGCGGACCAGGGCCTTACAACATTGCGCAAGTCATCTTTGAGCCAAGTACAGCCAAGGATCACATTGGCTACAGTGGCAGTGGCGACGCAGAAGCTTACCAGAGGATTCAGTGGCCCCCAGAATATGATTGTCTCCATGTATGTCGTCAGCAGCGCGTGCTGTTGTATTGGCGAGAGGCACCCGCTAGTGACAGGCCCAACCCGAAACAGCCTGAGCTGGCGGCCACCATCAGAACCATTTTCGGATCCCAGTTGCGAGAGCTGCCACGTTATCAGCAAAAGAATTGGCTGCAGGCACGTTCTTAAGATCATCTTTTTCAAGAGTAGGGGTGCCAACCCTTCAATGACAGCTCTGCTGCAGCGCCCGCTATGCCACCAGTCAGCCTCAAGCTGGCACATGTCAGTAGTTGTGCTTAAGATGGACTCGTTCCAGATCTGCCAGTTGAAAAGTTCGTGCCGCGGGTTCTCGGCGTCACAGACGCTCCAGAAAGACTTCCAACCGGCCAGGCAATTTTCGTGCAGAAGGAGCGTCGTAAGCATTGATAGAAGCCATGCTGAACAGAGCCGCAATATCATTAGCAGGCGCTCAGTTCTGATCCCTGTAATGGACGCATAGCATCTGGACAGAGGACCTCAGATATCGGAATGACAAGATAACAATGTCAGCGACTGCAACTCATAGTCAAAGTAGGACTGATCGTGGTCATGCATTTCATTAATGTCATCAGCAGCACCAGCAATAGGGCACAAATCAGCAGCAGCAGCAGCATCATCATCAGCACCACCACCTGCTGCAGCCAGCAAGAACTCAAAGCTCCAGCTTCCCTGACGCGGCGCTCGCCAGAAGCATATCGATCCCGACAATCAGAACAGGAGCGGCGGCGTGTGCGAATTGCAATGTCTTGTTGCTCAGCCCGGAGGTGTTGTTGGCTGGAAGTGCCTGTATGGGAAGTGCAGGATTCGGGCCCATCACTTGGGGCACAAAGCCCTGTGTCAACTTGCTGGTCCAAAGTCGACTACCGGCACCTAATATGAAGCCAGATCACTACTGTATATTTGTTGCATCTGGGCTCTGCAGGTAGCCGGATGTCAGAAGTTGGCACCGCAACTCGGCACTCGTGATTAAGCTGCTATGCATGGACCAGCAAATGGTTAAGCGCTAAGTGAAAGTACTCGTTGGAGTCTCTGAATGCATTCGTAGCCGGCTTGCACCTCCAACCCTAATTGGATTCATAGCTCAGCTGCTTAAGGTCCTTGCGTTGCATGAATTGGACGCCCAGCGTTTTTGCTTCGGAGCGCCAGGGTTTTCATCGCCCTGTGTCCTAGTTCTTGTCTCGCTGCTCGGACTTTCTGTTTTCATTATCGCTTGCTCACCAACCAATTCAGAATTTTCTGGTTCGTCGTTTTGCGCAACCACCCTTGCCAAGATCTTTGTTGGGAACCGCGTGCCTGCGCCACGGCATAGAGAATGGATGGCACGGATATGAGACACACCACTGCCTGCAGGGCAGACATTGACATTCAACGGTCTACAACAATTGGCTCTTCTGCCAAGCCCGCGCCAGCCACAGGATCCAGAAGACGACCCGTTTGCGAGCGGATGCCCCTTCCAGAGCAGGAGGAGCTCCTTGCGAGACTCACAGGATGCTCTCCAAAGAGGGCCCTCTTTGCTCAATAGAATCACTAGACTCCTCAATAAGATTCTGTCGAAATGCCCCAAATCTTGAGGCAACCTACATTTGGGGTGCGGGTGCCTGTTGAGCGTTGCCGCGGCAAAGCAGCAACTGCTGCTGCGAAGAATAAGGTCAGCAAGCTCCAGGAAAGGCTGATGACCATGGACTCCCACGACCTGATACTGCCAATGCTTTGTTGACAGGAAGGATCATATTTTTGTGTGGAGAACCCTGCTATTACCTGTCAAGCCCAACACTGCTACCCGACTAAAAACATCGGGCTGTGGCCAGCACCAAAACCTCTTCAGGCTGGATATGCAGCTGCGTAGACTATGGTAGTTCCCAGGAAGAATAAGGCATAAGGGACCCAACACATAGGCCCCCGTATCCTGAAAATCCAGAACCTTGAGAAACTGCCAGGGCACCCAGTCAGGTAGGCCGCAGTCGTCCGACCCAGTGGCTGCCCACAACTGTAGTAGCCAGCTCCCCAGATGTAAACCTTGACTGCCTCTGCAGCCCTGTAGACAGGATGACTCTGTGCAGTTTCTTAATTGTAATGCAAATGCCAAGGTCAAAATGCACTTCAAGAAGGGTCCGGAAACAGGAATGATTGCAAAACACAGGAAGGACGAAAAAGCGCTGAAGCGAAGCACACCGAAGCAGGACTCCGCCACGAGGACCTGCAAGCCTTCCAGCATGCTGGGAGGATTATCATCAGTGCTGGCCACCAAGGGGCTAAAAAGAGCAGTAAAGCAATTAATGATTATGAAGAACGGTCCTGTTGAGGCTTAACGGCCTTGTTGTGAGTACCGTCTGTCGCCTGTGTCAGTCTGGGCGTGCCGGGAAGCCTGGAAGAGCGCCTTCCAAACCTGGCCACGACCGAAGACCAAACCCAGTACCACGACCGTCATGCCACAGCTGATGAAGAGATTGCTCCTCGACATGCATCAATTTGAGTTCCCGAAACAAGGATGGGCCCTCCAGGATTCTGGAGCATGCCATGTCTTGCGCGACATGTAAACAGCTTTGACTGAGGCGAAGCTTAGCAACCCGAGAAAAAATGACAACGTTGCTAAAGCTGATTGGTAAAGCTGGTCCTGTGTGCTCGAGCTGAGAAGTATAGGAACTCCTGCTGCTCCTCATCTGAGACCCAGGTTGGCAGAGGGTGGCCATCTCCGATCATGTTGCCCATGACCACCGTGGCAAGCACGTTGCCACTTGTTATGTTGGGAGGTATACTGCAGGAAAAGATGTTTCTGTGAAGCGTGACCTTCGGCTCTTCCTTCAGCTGATCACACCTATGGCAGGAGCTGGGGCAGTTGTGGATCAGCTCAGCCAGCTCAGTAGGTGTCAATGCGAAGGATGCCAGTGTGTTGCATGGGTCCACAGGATCATCTGCCCAGTCCCAGCAAGTCAAACCGTGTAGCTCGAAATGAGGGTTGTCAAGGCATGGCCCTGTAAGGCTCAGATCCCCAATGGATCCTGAGAGCAAGTTACCATGCAGGGTCAGGATGCCCAGATTCTTGAGCTCAGATAAACGCCCAGGCAGAACACCCGAAAGCGCATTGTTGTGCAAAGTTAGCACCTCCAGCCGTTGAGCACGGATGACCTGTGGCAGCGTGCCCATAAGAACGTTGTCGTGAAGCAGCCTCAGGTGTCAGGTGAGGTGGCGAGGAGCGGGGCCTACAGCACAACATGAAACGCGTGGGTCCATGCCAAACTATACCGCACAGCTTCTGATCAACCAAAGCCAGCAGCAGCTGCTGAAGCTTCGGCATCTGCCAAAAGCACTCGGGAATCGTTCCCCAAAACAAATTTCGGCTGCACCTGTCAGGCGGGCCCCCCCACCCTCGCAATAAGGGCCCTGACCGAAAAAAGAGGACTGACAGTGTGAAATGCGCTGCTTCATGGGGAGCTTTAGGAAGTCCTGTACTCTGGTTCCATCAGCTTCTGATTTTTGAGAGCCTTAGGAGATGGTAGTTTCCCAAAATTTAGGCACCCTAATATAGACCCAAATAAACTATAGTCCTTATTATTGGGGCCCCCAAAAAGGTACCCCTAATTTTGGGAAACCCCCAGATCCCGTGAAACCTCAGGTGCTGCAGGTTTGGGAGTAAGCAAATCTCTGTAGGGAGCTCTTCGGAGAGGCTGTTGCCATCAACGAGCAACTCCCGCAAGCGCAAAAGGCCGCTGATGCTTGGAAGCCTGCCACAGGGGTTGATATGGGGTTTCCCAAGAAAAGGGATACTTATTGGGGGATTCCAATCAAAGGATGACAATATTCTTGGGGTCTATACTGGAGTCCCGCTCTGCCATGTCGTCAATGCTATGGCTTGATCTTTTGATCTTGGCTTGCGTTTCCATATCTTTTCTCCTTGCAGTTGTATGTTTTCTGCTCTCCCTGCATGCCTCCCAGAAAGCTGGTTCTCCCCAAGGTCCAGCACCCTCAGTTCTTTCAGCTGGATGATCTCGGGTATGGAGCCAGACAGGCGGTTCCCACGCAAGGACAATTTCTGGATCCTCAAGATCTTGTTTAACTGTGCAAGTCCGGTGATGCGGTTCTGCGAGAGGTCCAGCCTTTCCAGCGCCTGGAACAACAGAAAACATGTCGCAAGCATGGATGAGAAGGGCCAGTATAGTAGGCTGGCCTTTGAGGAAAGCTTCTGGTACAGTCATTCATTCGCAGGTTGTTTGTGCGTTGTTTCTTCTGACCCGGGCCTGCAGGCTCATTGGAGGCATGTCGCCCTCAAAGAAATTTTTGTGGAGGTAGAGCGTCTTCAGGGACTGCAGCTTGGACAGGCTGGCGGGAATTCTTCCTGTCATGTCTTCTCTGGGTTGTACATACAATGAAGGAACACTTCCCTTGGGCCCGTACTTCCTATGCTGAAGCCGTCTATTCCCACCAGTGACAACTCCTGTCAGCTGGTTGTGGGACAGGTCCAGGATCTTCAGCCCAGGGATCTGAGCAAGCTCGTCAGGGACTCCTCCATTGAGAAGGTTGTGGGAAAGCTGCAGTATCTCCAGTTGTTGGAGCTGCCCCAACTCTGGTGGAAGGCTTCCGCTCAGCTGATTGTTGAAAAGCTCCATGCGCTGGAGTTCTGACAGCGCCTGAAGGGATGCTTCAGACACCAAACACTTAGCGGCTTAGCATGAGTTTCGGAAACCGTGCTTAGGCTCTGACCCCCAATTCCGCAGGAACGGGTCCAGAAAGATTGTTGCCCTGCAACAAAAGCGGACTGCGTGGAAGGGCACCCTCCAGTTTATTGAAAGGAAGGAGGAGGTTCCGCAGCTTTGACAGCTTGCCGATCTCGACTGGTATATGCCCCGAGAGGCGATTCTCCGACAAGTCCAGATCCTCCAAGGCCGATAAGGTAACCAAGGCATGTGGCAGCTGGCCAGACAGCCTGTTGCTTGCCACGTACAAAGCCTGAAGCTTCTTGAGGTTCCCGAGCTCTGCGGGGATGGGTCCTAATCAGCTTTCAGCTGCACAGCATACACATGACTAGCGCGTGACCGTGGGACCTGCGCCCACCCATGTTGCAACTGATGCTCTCCAGGAGCACAGAAGCTGGCTTGGGTTTCAGAATGGAATATGTTGCCGTAAGACAGTGCCTCTAAGAACGGGCGCCCTGTGCCAGGCATTGTCTCTCTTTCTTTAGACTGCACATTGAAGCAAGCCGGGTTGCTGTTAAGGAACTTAAATGAAGTTACTATACTGCGGGAACCATTGTTTTTTTGGTACATGGAACCATCATTTTGTTGGTACATTTGTTACTATATATACCCAGTATGCTAACTTAGTTCAAGGTCCTTAGCAGCAATCCGGGAGATTGCTAACCAGCAGTCCTGATAGCTCGTTGCCCGTGAGATGGAGGAGCTCGAGCTCCGCCAATTGGCCCAGCTCGGGGGGAATGGGCCCCGAAAGGCGGTTGTGGGCGAGCCACAGCCGCCGCAGATGAGTCAGCTCCTGTAGTATCTAAGTAATTTAGAGGAGTGTTTAAGCTTGGCGTTGTTGAGGGCGGGTAGCCATTTGCTTCGATAGACTCCTGTCAGTTAGGAGGCTATTCCTTGGAAACATGGGTTTCTCCATAATCGCATCATAATGCCAGTGCAAGTCCTATGGCTAAGCTCGTGTTCTGTGATGACCACCACCACCACCACCGCCGCCGCCGCCGCCGCCGCCACCGCCACTGCCAGCGCCACCGCCGCCGCCACCGCCACCGCCACCGCCACCACCACAACCACCTCCTCCACCACCACCCCAGCAGCA